CTGTGGGTCTCTGAGGATACAACTCTTTCTGGGAGAAGAAAGCCTCGCCTTTTGCCTGTGCAGCGGCTGGTGGTTACGAACTGCAGACCTTGGAGGTAGCTGCCCAGTGTATGCTCCACTAGGCCACCTCCACTGGCTTTCACTGCCAGAGGGCAGCCACTCCTCCAGCCCAGGACCACTGGGAGCTAGCGGCCTTTCCAGCTCTCAGCCCACTCGGTTCCCCAGAGCTTTCGAGAGCAGGGCGTGGCTTTGTCCGCCCTGCTCGCCACCCCCCCACCCCCTGTGCACACTGCCTGCAATGCCCCTTATGTGCCGCTGCGTGGATGCAGGCTCCCAGCGCCCCCTGAGGCAGGGCAGACCTGCTTCACAGGGCTTCCTCGCCTCTCATCCTCCCGGAGCGGAGCCAGGCCTTTTCTCCCGGGGAGCTGCTGAGGGGTTGCAATGAGAGCCAAGGGCTGGATGCTTAGCTACCAGGGATTCTCACTTAAGCACAGGGCGCCCACACGCTCCAGTTTGCCAGGACAGTTCCAATTTGTGTGGCAGTGCACACTGGTCTCTCTCTCCATTCGCAGCTCCCAAGGCTGTGTGCACTCGATGTACAGACCTGTCTGGTCACCTCTGACGGCTGAGGGTCCTGAGGTCATCTGAGGCCTGGATGTGGGCTTCCCTGGCCTCTTGCTCAGCCACTGACCTAACCCTGATCTATTCACGTTTGAGGAAATCACTCTGTAATTGTACACAGGCAGAAAAAATACGTGGCTATCTATGAGTACAGATATACCCATATCCCAAGGAGCCCCGGTAGTGTAGTGATCACACTGTCGGGTGGCCAACTGCAAGGTCAACAGTTCAAAAACACCAGCTGCTCCACTGGAGCAAAACGAGGTTTTCTACTTCTGTGAAGAGTTACAGTCTCTCTGAAACACACAGGGCAGCTCTACTGTCCTACAGGGTTGCTGTGAGTTGCAACAGATTAGATGGCACACACACACACACACAAACACACACACACCATGAAAGAGAATTACGAAATGTTTGCTGAGAATAGCATATTCTTAATCTTGGTAAACAGTTACTGCACACTTGATTACCGGGCTAAATTCAAACCAAACCCACTGCCATCGAGTTGATGCTAACTCATACCAACCCTATAGGGCAGGCTAGATTTCCAAGACTGTAACTCTACAGGAGTAGAAAGCCTCGTCTCTCTCCCAAGGAGCAGCTGCTGGTTTTGAACTAGTGATCTTTCTTATCCCAGCCCAACTCGTAACCACTATGCCACAAGGGTTCCTTGATTGATAACAAGGCAATAAGAAGAAAAGTCGAAGAAAACCCTCGCTGGTATTGCAAAGCACCACGTTACAGAGCCATGTCCTTCTCCTCAGACGAGTGATGGGGGGGTTGGAGTCTGTTCCAGAGTAGACAGTGAAACTACACAATTTTAGTCATTTTGGGTGTATCACCCAATTCACTTCCTGTGAATGTTATATCAGCATTGGGAGGTGAGTTAGTTAATTGTGCCAGCCTGGCCGATAATCACATGTGGTGCTGGTTGAAAGGCGGAGGGATAAATGGATGGTGAAGCCTCGCCTTTCTAGTTCTCGGGTCTCTTGTTTTGTGATGGTTGCACCGGGTGCAGCTGCCTTAGCAGTTCCCTGCTTCAGCTTGCAAGATTGACTTCCTACAAGACATCCCCAAAGAGAAGCTACATGGACCTATCCCGATGCAGCCCTGGGTGCTGGAGCAGCCATGTGGAGACCCCTGCTAGTGCTGAGATGCTTGTTCGTTCACTGACTCAGCTTTCCTCCTGCAGTCGGCATCATTGCCTCTGTTTTGTGAGGTGAAGGACTTTGTGGACTGGTGTTGGGTATGGGTTAATGTTGGACTTGTGGGTTTGGGCAGCATTGGGTTGGGATGTTTTCGTGATGCACCTTTTCTTTACATAAAACTCTCTCTTATACATGAGTCATTGTGGATTTGTTTCTCCAAAGTACCCAGACTAATACAGGAGGGAAGGTTGAATTTCCAGAATTTTTCATTTAGCTTTAATAGAAAACAAACTCATACAAATCTACAAAACCCCAAAGAAAATATTTGGGTTCTGAGCATTCCTCGGCTGGATGGTTAGAACAACTTCACCTGGTACTTTCAGAACGATGCAGATGACCCTGAGTCTATCCACTTTTAAAGTGCCATGGGGGCGCTGCCGGGGAAGCATTGGGATGCTCACCAAAAGGCTGGTGGTTCAAACCCATCAGACGATCTTGGGGAGGGAGATGAGGCTGTCAGCCCAATAAGGGTTTACAGCCTTAGACATCTTATTTAGGGGCACTGTGACTTGAAATCAACTTAATGGTAGTGAGAATTATATCCTCTGGCTATCCCTGGCATGGTCACAAGGCTATTGAAATTCAGATGACAGACTTGGCTGACCGCGGGACCCAGGTGGCCTGCAGCTCAGCCCATGGCTGACGGTGGAGGAAACATGATGGCAGCCGGTCCCCCAGAACCGCCAATGTCTGAGGGGTGCATCTCCACACTTACGTCTCATCCGTGAACGCGATGCCAAAGTATTCCTTCTCCTTCAGGTTGAAGTGCGAGGCCACGAGGTCTAGAAGCTCCTTTGCCAAAAGCTTGGGCTGGTGGGGATTTAAAGAGAGGAGAAGAGTAAGTGATCTGAGCCTAAGCCTCCTAAAACATGCCATCTGACATGGGCATCATTTTATTACTGGCATGTCTCAACGTCTGGTATGTCAATCTCCCAAAGTGTTAACACAACCCAAAGGAGTCGGCAGAGAGGACGGGGCAGAGGCAGCAGCCAAGGGAGCATTCTGGAGAGATGGCAAATCTTCGATCTTCTTTCTGGGTGAACTGCTTGGCTACCCACAGAAAGGCAGTTGGTCTCATCTACTTAAAAGCCCCTTGGAAGAAAGGCCTGGTGATGAACTTGGAAAACCCAGTCACCGAAGACCGTATGGCTCAGAGATTTCCTCTGACAGCCCACATGCAGGGACTCCGTGATTCAGGACCTGCTGGACCCCTGATGGCGACTAGGTTTCCTAGAAGGTTCTTCTGTCCACAGACAATACTCCCTCCAGGGTCCAGCTGTCGCTCCCTGGTTCTCCCCCGCCACTGAGCTAAGAGAACACTTTACACAGAATCGACAGGAAGATGACCCCTTCTTAAAGACCTAAGTATGCATTTAGCATGCACTTGCATCAAATTTGCTACATGCCAGACCCTGTTCCTAGCTTTAGACATGCTGGCATCTTTAAGTCACAACCCCACTCTGCCCAATAAGGGTTATTTATTTATGGGCACTGTGACTTGAAATCAACTTAATGGTAGTGGGAATTATATCCTCTGGCTATCCCTGGCAGATCCTATTATTAATCCCTTGTTACAGGAAGGGGAGCTCTGGCAGCGTAGTGGTCGTGCTTTGGGTTGTGATCGCAAGGTTCAGCAGTTCGAAACCACCAGCCACTCCATGGGTAGAAAGATGGGGCTTTCTACTGGATATATTTCATCTCGGGAGCCCACAGGGACAATTCTCCTCTGCCCTATGAGTTGGAACAGAGGGTTTTTTTTGTTGTTGAGTATACCCAGGCCCCCTGGTGGCACTACTGAGGAAGCACTGGGCTGCTAACCACACAGCCAACAGTTCAAACCCACCGGTTGCTTCTCCAGAGGAAGTTGAGGCTACCTGCTCCTGTAAAGATTTAAAACCTAAATCTTAGATAGGCTGGCTCAGAGCCAGAATTGACTCGATGGCAGTGGGTTTCGTGTGTGCAGGGTACCAGCTCAGTGCTGCAGGAGAACTGAGCCGGACAGAGCACCTGCCCAGAAGGCCCTGACACTTGACAAGGTGCAGAGAGCCTGAGTTAGTGTGGCTTTTTAAAAATCCAAAGCAGATGTGTCCTCTCTGCTGCCTCCCTCCTGGGCTCATGGGTGTGAATTACCATCTACTTCCTGCCTTGAACTGACAGGAGTGGTTTAGGAGCTATGGCAGAGCCTCCTCTCCAGGAGACACAACCAACAGGAGAATCCATCCTGATGAATCAACACCAGCTAATGCTTTCCACTTTTGCTCACACGGACGTTTGGAAAGGGGAAAAGCAATTTGTGTAACCAACAGGGAACTCAAGACCTTCCATAAGACACTCCATCCCTAGCGGAAGGCAGCCCTGGGGTCACCAGGGAATGTCTCAGGGCCGCCTTGAGCATGAGGAGTAGAATGTGAGACAAGGGGGACTTTCACAGCTTCAAGGCAACGCTGGGCTGGCTTGGGCTGCTTCAGGCTCTGCCACTGGCACCACCCTGCCCTAGAAGGGGCCTGGCTGGGCAATGATAAAGCAAGCATTTGATATGCAGGGTGTGACTGGCTGGAAGCAAGTGTGGCTGGCTTTTAAATAACACAGGACCATAATTCAGCTGATCAAATGACCACCGTCCCTTCCAAAGTAGCCACAGTGTATCGGGGTGTTTGCTACTTCTTAGAACACCTTTGTTAGTACACAGAGTCAGCTTTAGAAGCACATGCTTTAAAATGAGGAGCTGATACCAAGGGCTCAAGGTGAAAGAAAATGTCTTGAGGATGATGGCAACAAATGTACAAATGTGTTTGACACAATGGATGTATGTGTGGATTGTGATAAGAGCTGTATGAGCCCCCAATAAAATGATTTATTAAAAAAAAAAGCAGCACATGCTTTAGAAGCACATGCTACATTCCATACAACATCGTTAGTAGGGACGCCTCTTCTTCTTGTCCACAGAATGCTTGATTGAATATAAAGGACTTGAATGTTTGATGTGCGTTTGAATTTTCTTTCGAATGTCAAAAGTCATTTGACCTTACGTCTAGTGAACGGGGAGTGGGCAGTGGGTCATCAAGCTGGGCCACTGGCTTTATAAAATGAGGTGTGACTAAATCGTAATTGCTGCCAGTCCTTGGGGGAGCGCGGCCAGATGAGAAGGGTCAGAAACGAGATTCTTCAAGACCCTCCTCGTGTAGCATTCAACTCCGAAAGCCAGGCCTCCACGGAGTCACCCCCAGGTTCGAAGTCTGCAGCATGAAGAAACGTGTCAGGCGTCTGACAGAAGTAGATGCATCGTCGATTTGACGGGAGTGGCTGTGTGGTGGGGAGCAGCTGAGGAAAGGAGGAGGAGCTACGGAAGCAAATGCCATCTCAGAGCCGAGGAGGCTGCGGGTACCTGAGTCTTCTAGGTGGCAGAGATGGAGGCACGGGGCTACTTGGTACTGTTGTCAGGGGCTTTCAAGTGGATTTTGACTCACAGCGCCCCCAGGTGTTACAGAGGAGAACTGCCCCACGGGGTTTTTCAGTCTGCAAGCTCTATGGCAGCGGTTCTCAACCTGTGGGTCGCCACCCCTTTGGGGGGAGGGGGGAATCGAATGACCCTTTCTTTTTTTTTTAAAATCATTTTATTGGAGGCTCATACAATTCTTATCACAATCCATCCATCCATCCATTGTGTCAAGCACATATGCACATTTGTTGCCATCATCATTCTCAAAACATTTGCCTTCTACTTGAGCCCTTAATATCGGCTGCTCATTTCCCCCCTCCCTCCCTGCTCCCCACTCCCCCTCATGAACC